TAACCCGGGTTCATCAATTGCAAAACACCTCATGACAACCAAACACATAGTTGATCCCGCTTCCTCTTTCAAACCGTTGTTACGTAACCACAATGTAAAACTGTTGGCAATCAGTGAGGCCTTGCTGATCCGATTACATGACCCCGTTCTGTGTGCCCAAAAGTTGTTGATCCAATCAATTCACTTGCCGTGGAGTNATATTTTTCAATTCTAATAGCCTCTGTCTAACTGTACATGTCCGTTTGTCTATGATTTACAATTTCAATGTGCTATAAATGTGCTTGTTTGTTTTACGTCAACGATTGAGAAGATTAAACGAAATGTTAACATCTCGCGACATATGTCTTCTTTCGGTCTTGATACTCAAAGCATATTCCGATAATTTTTTGATCTGACTCGATTGCAGCGTTGAGGCTAAAGGATTGTGGCTTTTGGCAAAAAACTTCATGCGGAGACGGTATAGTTGTCTTTGGCGTTTACCTATCCTGAATAAAGGAAAATTGTAAATTCCAATTTGAATTCCATGAAATTTTGAATCTGTTCAAAATTCACTCTAGCACAACTGTCTATGATGTTCCATTTTCGTGGGGCATAAATCATTGGGGTTTTGGTTGCGTTCATTTTCGAGAGGGAGGGGGGGGCGGTTATACAATCGGTAAACCGAATGCCACGTTCTGTAAATGTCACCCAAGTTGCCAGAAACCCTACCCGATCCTGTCTCCTTCTGGAATCGAATCTGGTGCGCGGAAAAAACGCATCTCTCTCTCTCTCTGTGAGTGTGTGTGTGTGTGTGTCTGTGTGTCGATACTACACCACATACCCGTCTGACTGGGAATGTGAACCAAACTTTGAAAAATTGTTTTTTCTCCTGTTCTCTTTCTTCTCCTTCTTCCTCTATTTTTTTGAAGTAACATTTGAACAGCCCAGACAGGAGCTCTGAGTGCCCAACAATTGTTCCATTTGTTTTGCACAATTTTCCTTGCTGTGTTCCTGTAAAATGATGTGTTCCATCGTGTTGCTTTATCGAACTTTCTCTGTGTGTGTGTGTGTTTCTTTTTCCAGTGACGCAGAAGATACTGATCAGCTTGCATTGTTGGCAATGAAAGTGAGTAGTTATCGTTGTTGATGTGTTCTTTTGCGTACGATTCGCCGATGAACGAAATGCACCTATGAGATGATCACATATCAACTACCACGACACTGTCACTCAAGATTTCAGCCCCCGGGGAATGATTCTTGGAAAGAAGAAACGGTTAGCCTTCAAAAGTTTTACACTCAGTTCAAATCGGAGGATTGTGTGAATATGTGTGTTCGGATGGTACCTGACTTTCAGTTACAAAGCCTAATCACACCGTGGAATGCAGTGCATGAAATTGACCGTAAAAGCTTTACAAATAGGTCCTCAATGAGGCAGGAGCTGTGCGGAAGTCACCTATCATTCCAAAGCAAACAGCATCAATGGTTCCGTTAGAAAGGAATGCAGCATATTAAACGTTTTTCACATTCTGAACTCAGTATTTGTATTAATTTTCATTGGATTATAATCTTATCAAAGTTACGGCCATAAAATACCAGCTGTAAGCCGGTTTCAAAGAAACGCTTGGTTTTTTTTTACCAAATTCTACTGACTTCAGATCAATAAACTGAACCGAGGATAGTAACGTACTGCATGATGAATTTTTCATGCCCCTATTAGAAAAAAGGATAAACTGAAAGATTGGGAAACACTGTGAGGGGTTTTTCCCCGTTTTTCTGTCCCCGACACTGTAGAGCGAATCCATCGGCCCGACGGGGGTTCGAAGCAAGGCGACCGATATGACAGCTTATCTCTGTCTATGCAGGTATATCTATACTAATATCCACTTATGTTTTTGCTTCTGTTAGTCAAATGACGTACGATTTCTCGACTTCGATGATGATTACTGTTGCATTTGCTGTAAGATAACAAAGCTTTAGTTGTGAAAACGGGTCACAAACAAGTTACCGGTATTGTACTCTTAATCGTCAACTTCGGGGAAGTTGCACTGAAGAGGATAA